CAGGGTTGTAGGTACCTAGAGAAGAGGCACGGAATGAGAAAAAAATATCAGTATGTGTACTAATTATAAGTATTATGGGGGTGTAGAGATTTTAATTCAGGCAACGGTTTTCTACGACTCGGAGTCATTATCAAAACAGTATGGATATTTGCGAAATAAGTGGTAAATTTATTCAAAAATTAACGCAGATTTTAGAACTTGTACAGGCTGGCGGTACACACAATCAAAAGTGGATTAATCGTTAATTACGGTTACTTCGTAAAGCTTCAAAAATTTAGATTAGGCGCAAACTAGTTGATTATTCGAATTAAAGCCAGACGGGGAATACGTCAATTTCAATGAGGAAAGCTGTGTAAATTTAGTCTTCATATTAAAAGTTTGAGATGATAAATTCTTTTATTTTTTTAAATTGTATTGAAATAGAAATTATTCTGCTTAGGTGTGTGATAAGAAAACCAAGTTAACAAACGCTAGCACAGCTGTCTTTGCTGTCTCAGCAAAACGGTCAATAGCCTGTTCTGGCGATATCAAATGCAGTCACTGCACTATGCNTCCGCTTAGGTCGGACTACAATTGATAGAAAACTAACGCTTCAAATAATAGCAGTTTATCGTCTATAAAAGTGCAAAGCAGAGACGCATCGGAGGAATATATTATGTATTAAGGAAAAAGTACACCTACTTAACTATAAACCGTTTTTAAACCTAATCATAATGTGTATTCTTAGCCCGTGGAATGTCCCTGTCCTATAGCCTGCTACTGCTTCTAAGGCGATCTTGATCTCCAGAGTTGTAGGTACCTAGAGAAGAGGCACGGAATGAGAAAAAAATCTCAGTATGTGTACTAATTATAAGTATTATGGGGGTGTAGAGATTTTAATTCAGGCAACGGTTTTCTACGACTCGGAGTCATTATCAAAACAGTATGGATATTTGCGAAATAAATTTATTCAAAAATTAACGCAGATTTGTATAGGCTGGCGGTACACACACACAATCAAAAGTGGATTAATCGTTAATTACGGTTACTTCGTAAAGCTTCAAAAATTTAGATTAGGCGCAAACTAGTTACGTCAATTTCAATGAGGAAAGCTGTGTAAATTTAGTCTTCATATTAAAAGTTTCAAGTTTCATTATTTCACATATAGAAAAGAGAATATGATTCATATCAGGGAATTCAATGAATTACATCTACGGAACGGTTGTATCGAAAATACAAAGTGAGCCATTGGATATGGAAAGAAAAACAAAGGAAGCCCACAAAACATAAAGATCAAAAAACAGAGAGAGAAAGAGAGAGATAACAAAAACAAATTAGTGAACGACAGAGACTAAAGAAAAACATTTAGCCCCTACTCCAAAGGGGTTGGTTACCACAATCTCATAGAGGCTAAATAATGTAAGAGATAACAAAAACAAATTAGTGAACGACAGAGACTAAAGAAAAACATTTAGCCCCTACTCCAAAGGGGTTGGTTACCACAATCTCATAGAGGCTAAATAATGTAAGAGATAACAAAAATAAATTAGTGGACGACAGAGACTAAAAAAAACATTTAGCCCCTACTCCAAAAAGGGTTACTTACCACAATCTCATAGAGGCTAAATAATGTAAGAGATAACAAAAACAAATTACTGAACGACAGAGACTAACCACTACCACAATTTCATAGAGACTATATACCCTCAATGATGGATTATAGGTGTAGTATTAACACTAGAATATTCGCCTTGGGTAGGGAGAGTGAACATATGCTTCAAAAACACATGGCATCAAGAAGAAGAAGAAATGTAAAGAATATGTACCATTTGTAGTTTATATATAGGTTGCTGTTACACAATTAGGAACTTTATAAATAAACATACAAAGCAGACTATTACCCGACATTCAAGCAGGAAAACAGAATAGCGAACATGTAGGGCCGGGACATAGAGAGAGATCATTAGTCATAGTTATTAATATATAGAAGCATATAGGTATTCATCCTATTCAAAAATAGACAACTAGGCTTCTTAAATCGTTTGTGTGTGCGCGAAAGTAAAATACAGACTTTTGTGGAAAATTTATTAATGTTCAATCCTATCGTAGAAAAGGTCGTGTCTGTTTTAAATATTTTAATACTAGAATAAAAAAAGAGAAGCAAAACGAGGCATCGGTTAACGTTTATATACTTAAAAAGTCAATTTGTATTTAATACAGGATATGAAGATGATAATGGTTGAGAATGCTTTATATCATTTTAAGAGGACTGCGTTAGTACTTAATAAGTGCTTACCACTGTCTAATAAACCTATTTTACTTTAGAAAGAACGTGTAAGAGAATACTTAGAGACCAGGAATAATTACAGATGAAAAAATGATTTTTCTGGAGCTAGTGATCATATAAAGAGCCAAATATGGCTGGAAAGGTACGTCTGAAGACTTTGATTAATTTCACAGCTAGTGCCAAATTAAGTATTTGTGTATGTATACTCGGACACTGAAGCAGGTTAATATCAAGTCTTAAAAGCTCGTAAAATAGGTGTAAACCTCCGAATAATCACCGATCAAGAAATTTGTAAAAATTGAAAGAATCAGGATAACTGATCGTAAGTAATCACAAATCTGATTTTAAATAATAAATCAAAACGAGCTTCAAAACTACATAGAGAATTTTAAAGGAAAAAAAAATGATTTAAAAAACCCGACAGGATTATTTTGAATAAACAAGACCATAACGACGGGCGTGGAATTGATTGAATATAACGAAAATATGATATCTTTCAACAGACGACACTATTGAGCTAAATAGGGTAGATTACATGAAACCCTAGGAACAACCTCGACCCCTTGGGGAGGTACGCTGTTTCTGAGGTTGGAAGCAAAAAAGAGACTACTGAATCAAACTGAATAAGTATAAACAACCATTTCAGCTGATTAATTTCATATCTAGTGCCAAATCAAGTATTTGTGTATGTATACCCTGACACTAAAGCAGATTAATATCAAGTCTTAAAAGCTCATAAAAGAGGTGTAAACCTCCGAATAATCACCGATCAAGAAATTTGTAAAAATTGAAAGAATCAGGATAACTGATCGTAAGCAATCACAAATCTGATTTTAAATAATAAATCAAAACGAGCTTCAAAACTACATAGAGAATATTAAAGGAAAAAATGATTTAAAAAACCCGACATTATCAATAAGCTACATGATATGGGAATAATTCAGTAACTTACCAATAATCTCCAGCAGTAGTCTTATTAGCTGTAGGCGTTAGCGTGTCTCATCATCTTAACGTTAGGTCTTCAGAACTGTTACGCCATCAGAGGCGCCTGCGCAATCGCCGTCTTCAGACATCGGCGGGGTGGTCTTCAGGCATCGAGCTAAGAAAAAAATAAATATTGTCATCACAATGTCTGTAATCATTCTTCATCTAACATTCAAAGTGTTCAGACGTGCTTTTAACATAATCTGAAAATGACAAGTCTACGAGATGTTTGCTTCGAGCAAATCCAAGATCAATACTGGTACGGTTTATATGGAGATTTTAAGATTATCATCGACAAGGACACCGGTTACTTTAACGCTACAAAGCTATGCCAGGATGGTGGAAAAGAGTTTAAATATTAGCTACGTAATAAAAGATCGAAAGAACTTATGTGATATTATGTATCAGAAAGCGCTCGGGGAGAAAAGTATCCGAGCTCATACTATATACATGGAAATCAATATGACATTATTTCTGGAACCTACTTACCCAAAGAGTTGTTCCTGGATATTGCTTGCTGGGTATCTCCGGAATTCGACATGAAATGCAGTAAAATAATTGAAGAATATTTTGTAAACGAATTCAAGGTCAAGTACCAACACGATTATGAAGCCCTGATGGTCAAGTTGCAAGATTTGGGGACACGGAACGAGAAGCTAGAAAATTACGTTGAAGATATAAGTCCAAAGGTCGTTAACCCGAACAAACGACACATGTTTGCTATAATACAGAAAAATCAATCAACCGAGTATCCGTACTATATCATTAGAACACAGAGAAGGCGTTTCCCGCAATCCTTGAAGAGGCTACAGAAGAAGCACCCGAAAGCGCGCGTTGTGGCAGATTTAGAGTATAACTCCAACAGTATAAGCCTTTTTAATCGCATCAAGGACGAAATACCGTATATTACATGCAAATACAATTATTTTAAACTAGTAAATACACCGATTGAAATTTTCATTAATGATGTAAATATAATGCTAGAAATAGATTAAAATACGAGTTGTTTAATTCCTTACCCCCACCACCACCTCTAACACAATAAGAATACCTTGAGCAAGCGTCTCATTCATGTCTTGTTCTTGGTAGTGACAAGTTGCAAAAATGAAAACAACGTTCTACTTTAAAGCAAAAGCTTTGAGAGTGATAAAGAAGCTAAATATTCGCGACGATGTATTAATTAATCAGTGGTACTTGGATAAACAGCATTCATGTTATATACGTTATGAAGACGAAAAACCCGTATCGTTTGCCTTGCTGTCTAAAATGGAGTTTGACCCCTTCAACAAGCATTCAAATCCAAAGACGTTGAACTACATATATACGCTGGAAGCGCATCGTAGAAAAGGACATGCTACAGCCCTTGTAGACCATGTGAAAGAACGTGAGCAGTTTTCGGCGTTTTGCAGTAATGAAACTTCAGAGAATCTATTTAAAAAATGCAAATGTAAAAATTACGGTGAAATGTATTGTAATGTTATGTATAGATATCCTTAATAAAATCTAATTATGCTACTCTATTTTTTTTATTTCCACCTTTTGCAATATTAACTTGAAAGACGTGATTGATTTAATTTGATTGAGAAATGTTTTTCAACTTTCTCTCTCTACTATTAGTATCTCAGACACCCCCACACAATTACGAGGAAAATTAAAAGCAGTGATAAAATTATAATTTTTTATTTAAATTAGAATCCAAGTTAGTAAATATATACAGAATATTACACACACAAGTCACATAGAAAACAGGTTAAAGCTTAGGTCTTTTCCATCCGTAGGGCACCGAGCTGTGGCCGTCCAGGAACCGTCTCTTTACGGAGAGAGGTTTATATAGCTTGGTTTGCTGTACGGTTATCACCTCGTGCTCCTTGGTCCTCAAGATGTTTCTTGAGGCCACGCATACGGGGCTGATGGAAGTGTCAAACACCATATCTTTTATGATATCGAAATTTACAAGTCGTGAGGCTGTGTAATTAAGGGATATACCCTTAACTTTACACACGACCTTCTCCTCGTTATCTCTGGTGGAGAAGACCTTGTATGCGTAGTTCTTGGGCCCTCCGCTGACAAACTCGGTTATGTGACTTCCGGATCTGTACCCTTCCAACTCGTCTGTCATATCGCCTAGGAACTCTCCTGTGGGTACGTCGTACCCTCCGTCTCGGGAGACGTAAATGACAGAGTCCGTATCGTAATACAGCACTCGGTCGCCCAGCTGTTCTAGGTAACTATACAGCTTTAGACGGGCTTGAGTCGTGACGTACGCTGCGATGACGACATTTACAGTAGTGAGCGGGTCGTAGGCCTCCTCCTTGTGCTCCCAATTGACGACGAGAGTGTCTTCGTTGATCGGGAGCGCTGAATTAACGTAGATGCTGGGGTTGGTGAGCATGCTGAAGAATTCCGCGGGGTTTCTCACGATGGATGTTTTGGGCTGGTTCTCCCTCTGTCCAAGTTTCCCCCAAAAGCTGTTCAAGATGAGTTTTGCGAGAGACCGTAGCCCGGGGTTCTCCACGATCTCCGCAAACTCCAGCTTGACGTCTTCCCTCTCGAGGAACTGCTCAATATAACGCTCCCTGTCAGACTGGCTAGAGCAGTGTGCGGGCCACCCGGACGCCTGCTGTTTCACGGAGATAAACTTGTTCATCATCCCCGTGAACAATCCTCCGGTCTTTGTAGTCTTATCGTACTGCTGAACGTCGTAGCTCCAGATCTCGTAGATCTTCAGCAGACGATACCCTTTTTCAACGGCCTTTCGAACTTCATCTACCACCCATACACCTGTAAGAGCTCGCTCTTCGTCGCTATGCTGGCACTCGCCTTTATTCATTTGTTCTCCGCAGGTGCGACAGAGAACAAACATGAGCTTGTTGTTCATCTTGGCTGGGAGCACAGGGTGGTAGAGATTCTGGGGCGGGAGGATCTTGCATTTAACAACCCCGTTTACATTGCGAAGATCTGTAGGGCATTCCTCACCCACATACACCTTGGGGTGTCCTACGGGGAACTTGCCGTATTTGCAGACCCAGGGGTAAAGGGAGCAGACGTCGACGTATTTGATTTTCTCCCCTGGGCCGCACTTGTAATACTCGAAAGTATTACCTGTACGTCCTCCGTAAAATGCGTCTCTGGGGTTTAGCGGTGTCAGCGTAACTAAGGGGTGATTGGTAGTGTCATTAATCTTCTAAACGTACACTCCCACATCTCAACGACCTCGTAACCAAGGTCTCGAAGTCTTTGTATCTTTGCAAGGGTGGTTTCGTGTCGGGTGTTTAATGTCTGGGATGGGTCTTCGTGTAGGGGCTCGTCTCTATTATATTTAAAGCAGTTGGGGCAACCATGGAAGTAACACCCGTGAAACTCAAACACCTGTTTGGTTTCAGGGTTGTAGCCATCAACTTTGACCCCTGCGACTCGTGCTTCTTTCTCTTTGGCAGCATGAGAAATGTTGAGGCCCCTGGTGTGTTCCTCCCATACCAACCACTGGATGTCTATCTTGCTTTGATTGTCACGCCATCTGTAGCCGCCTTTGGGGATGATACCAATGGTGTTTGGCTGTAGGAAATTGCGCCTATACACCTTATTGCAGGCAGAGGCTATGGTACAGGCTTCCGTGTACGGGCAGACGTTTCCCGTTTCCAACAGCTGCTGTCGGAACTTGAGACATGCGGCCGTCAGGATCTCCACGTCCGATATACAATATATTCGACGAGATCCCTCTGCATGTTAAACTCGTCGTTTTTATGTTCCTCGTGCCACTCGAGAAACTTGGAGCGATCTTCCGGTTTCATATTATCAGGGTCATAGTATTCGGCGGCTGGTAGGGGACCCACGTAATTTTGGTTGGCAGCAGTGTTGAAAAGGTGGGGGAAATAGCCTTTCTTGAAATTATCACCCAAGCCGAAAGCTTTGGGCAACTTGGACAGCGCCATGGGGAAATAATTTAGACTGTCCAGGAATTTTACGTTCCCCACGACCATGGAAATTATTTTCATGCCGCGCATGATGAGTTCGGGGGTGAGGTCCGTCTGCGTCAGGATGTAGTTGAGGCAGAACTGGTGGTCGAAGGCCTGCCCGTTGTGGGCCATAACCACCACCTGCTTGAATTTTTTCCTCATGGTTATGAGGTGGTGAAGGAATGGTGAAATGGGGTCGTTGCACCTTAAAATCTGCAGTCTAACCCCGCATTTACTACAGATTTTCTGCGGCGTGTTGAGGCATGTATCGCAGCATTGCTTGAATACACAGAGATTTGGTTCATGCAGGAGGGAACCATCTTCTTGCGCCTTCTCTTGTCGGGTCTCCAAGTCGTAGAAGACAAAGAGAAGGCCGTCGGTTTTAGGCTTCCCTGTGTTGGGCTGCATATAACACAGGTGGTCTGCGGGGACGTGGACGTTGCATATCTTGCAAAAAATTTCGCCGCAAATGTGTTCTGCCTTTTTTTACCACCTTGAGGCAGTCGGGGCAACGGCGAATCTGCTCGCAAACCGAGCTCTTTCCAATTGATCCTTGGCTCATATGATTGTCGTAGCATTGCCGGCCTCTGAAGCTACGCTGACAGTCGGAACAGGTAACGCCAATAGGTACCTTTACACTTACGCTCAATCGTGAGCGACTGGAGCGCTCCGTTCCAATCGCGCGTATTTTCGCGCAATCCTGAGTGTCGCGTTCTAAAACTTTGTTGTTAAAAATTGACACGCTCCAATCGCACGGTATTGCCTGCGCGGTGAAATGTGACATGATAACACGGCTAATGTAAATTGAAAAGTGTCAAGTTTCTCGCGCGATAGTCGTGGCTCGTGGAGTGTTAAAAATTTCAACAGTTTTATAGACGGTTTGTTCTGAAATGGAGCAAATTATAAACAAAAAAAGAAAATTAAAAGTGGCTTTTTTTTCTTTAGATTTAATCTTCCATAAAGATGGATAGGATTTATATAGCTCAATAAAATTTGTAATTGTTTCTTTTGACCAATATGGTGCATCCGCCATAGTCTATAAAAAATACAAAAACGCTTACAAATATGCGAATCCTAGGTAGCTATGTTTATATTAAAAAATTAAAAAAGTACTTATCGCCTTTTAAGAGTAAACTCCACAAGACCGCGTGAAAATCGAGGTAAACTTTACCCTACGTGAAATTTCCGCATGAAAACAACTGGCGAAGTAATGCAGGATTTGACACGTCTAAGAACCGCGCGATTATATACATTTACACTAACAAGCTTTCGCGTGTGATTGGAACGGGGCGCTCCAGTCGCTCACGATTGAGCGTAAGTGTAAAGGTACCTATTGTCTTCGGGACATGCGGGCGACTGCTGGCACGCCGGACAGGTACCGCCACATCTGTGTTTGTTTTTGTGATCGTACGGTATGCTACACATCTCGCAATAATAATCGCAGCAGAAGGCAGCCGTCAGCGAGGTGATAACATTATAGTGCCCCTTGTGATATATTAAATTTAACGAGGGACCCTCTGTGGAGCCCTTAAATATAATGTCACGCCCCTTGCTACCGTACTGGTACACGACGATGCGGTAGTCGGAGAGATACCGCTGGAACTCTTGTAGTTCGTGAATACCTGCGCCCTCTTCAGGTATGACAACCCCTGCCACCCGCATCAGATCTTGAGCTCGCAGAATCTGCAGCTTTCCGATATCTCTACGTACTTTTCTATACTCAGTGTCCTTGTCCACGTTGGCTTTTGCTACGACGAGGGCGCGGGGTAAACACAAATTGTCTTTATTGTTTATGGTAACAATACCACGCCGCTTGGCACACTCCTCGTTGAAAGTGTTATACTTTTCGCCACGTCCTTTCCCTACAGGCATCTTAACCGATGTCACGCCTAAACAGAACGTGTCAGTGTTGAGCCCTGCGGAGTTGGACTGGTATACGGCGGAGATGACATCCTATACGTCGTCGTAGGTAACTTCTTTAGCGGGTTTAAAGCGGACCCAGCCATCACCTCTGGCAAAGTCCTTGGAACAAAACGAGAAAGACACCTGGTCTTCGGGGTTAAGGTGTTCGGTTCCCTGTTGAATTATCTGGTTGACGGCTTCCTTGACCCATCCAACAGGCTCTTGACCGACGGGTACCGGCTTAATTTTAAATTCTAAAGTACGCCCCATCAAGTTGAAGCGGCGGACCTTCTTCATAGTATCTCTAAGTATGAAAAATTTAGACATCTTGCAGTGGTAATAGGATTTCTGAAAGATACCAAATCTGATAAACGCTTCCTACCGAAAGTAAATTTGAAAAACTTACAAGTTGATTGAATAGCGTCGAGCACGAGAGAAGACTAACTGTGATCTTAACACTTCAAAGATCGAAGATAAACTGACTAGAAGACCGTAGGGGACGCGTAGTTATTACCTTTCATGTAACTAGTGCCGGTAAGTGATGCATGAAAAGAGGTCACGTGATTAAGATGTGTTTGATTAAAAAATAGGGCGTGATTCACACAAAAATTTACAAAAAAAAAAGTATACGAGAAAAATAAAAAATTTCGAATGTGAGTAAAACGAAAAGATAGTGAGCGCTTTCTACCTACTGGGCAAGCATATCATCAATCCGAACAAAAAGAAAAAATTCGATGAGACCCACTATCTTACTGCAAGGCGTTTCATTTGATATGCGACACGCCATATTTTAAAAAACTCACCTTTATTGAAGAAGTTTCAACACCTTTTTTAAAAATGATAATTATTTAAAATGTGATAATAGCATGACGTAAAACGTGATAACCTGACGAAAACATGACGACACCTTATGCGCATAGTAAGTTACTAGCTGAGACATGTCGGTACTTGTTCAATATTCGCTGATCTGTTGAGGTGTACGCGTGGCTAAGAAGATGGGAATTTGGGCTGGTGGTCGACTTTTTTCCTCACGTTAGCGTGACAGGTACCGCTTTCATGCGGGAGAGTACAACCCTTGGCGTCTGTAATACCAGTCCTAATAAGATAAGGGTTGTCGCCTTCAAGGGGTATGTATAGATAACGCTTTCGTTTGTGCGCATACGTGCGAACATATTTTTGTGGAATTGAGTTGCCGGGGGCTTCCAACTAATTATTGTGAGGCCCCCCTATGGCTATCAAAGAACCGCCCCCACCCCATTACCTGCCTCTGCAGCCGCCCTCTGGACCCGTTTGCCGCTTTCCCTTAGCCAAACTGGTAAGTTTTTGTATTTTTTTTTAATTGTTTCAAGTCGCAAATTACTAATTATTTTATGAAAAATTATTTTATGTAGAAATTACGCCAAAACTGTACTTTACGTACTGTATGTAGAAAAATTATTAAAAATTAAATGTCATACTGTACTTTACTAAAAAGTAGAAAAATTACGAAATATTAAATATAGAAAAATTTAGTCTTATATTTAAAAAAGATTTACTCTTACGCCTGAACCGGAGAATTCGGGGCAGCACTTTCAGATGCAAGATGACGTCAAACTGAACTTTAATAAAAAACAAAAGAATTATTTATTAAAAATTATTTATGTGAAAATTAAGTCAAAACTATACTTTACTAAAACTGTACTTTAATAAAAAATTACATATAGAAAAATTAAATATGGAAAAATTATGAAAAATGACGTCAAACTGTACTTTACTAAAAAAATAGTGGCAAAAAATTATTTTATGAAAAATAAAATCTGAATATTTTTAATGTAAAGAGTCAATAGTAATTTTTAATTGTAAGGAAAGACCCTATAACGTTCAATTATGTTCTAAGTCGCAACGGATCTGTTTAGTTTGAAACACTGCCGTCGAGATGTTTGAATTGCGCTAAGAGTATGGTACCGAACAATTATATTTTGAATTTGCCCTAACCACAAGACAGCCATTTTTATCGTTTCGATAGCCCGAAGGCCTTTCGCGTTCACGGGCGGATTTAAGTTTTTCGCGTGTGGCTGAAACCTTTTTTCGTTGGCAAGGAAAAATCCAATGATTACCCTTAGGTAATCGTTTAAGATAGACCCCTACACGACACGGGTACCGTATCAAGCCAGCATATTTAACTGTGTATTGAATCGGCACAAACGACGCGATCTGAAATGCAGAAAAATCTAGCAACTTACCCTTCGTATGCCTTCTTTCTTCGTGTCTCTGTCATTCTGTTATCTTGTTTTGAACTTCATGCCTCTGTAGCCGAAATTCATGCCTTTCTGTCCTGGTTAGACTTTCAACTTCCTATAAAATTAATGTTTTAGATTTTTAGCCGCCATCTTGTTGTTGAATAATTTATAACTTTTTATAAAGACCCTGTAGCTATTGTTTTTGCTTAACTGCTAAAATAACACCCTGTATAATACTGGTTTTAAATAAAAAAATTTCAATCTGATTTTGGTTTTGAATTTTTATGATTGTAGTAAATTGCTAAAGATTCGTCTAATTACCTATTGTTTAATTGTTTATGGTTCATTTTTTCAGTTATTATAATAAAGCCGTGTATTATAGGAGGATTATACTTTTTATTTAATTTTCGGTTAGTTAACGTTTATTACGATTAAGTGATTTTTTTTGTATTAAATAAGCTGTTTTACCAGCTAAATTATAGTTTTTAGAATGTTAATATGTTTTGAGGATTTTTTTAGCTTGTTTTCCTGTTGAAATAAGCCAATGTTTTTAATTATAGAATTTTTTCCTATGAAAAAAATAATTTGCCTAATTGCAGCTAAAGATTAATTCTTTAAATACGATTTTATTATAAATAAGCTATTTTAACAGCTAATTATAGTTTTTAGAATACGTGGACTGTGTATTAAAAGTAAAATGCTGCATGCTATCTGAAATGATGAAATTCGAAGCAACTTACCCTCTGTCCTCTGTTGCTTTGTTTTTTGGGTTTCCATGTCTCTGTCGTCCTATGGTTGACATTCATGCCTTTCCAGCGCTGCTCTCTCTCTCTGTCTTTCAGCTATCTATAAAATAATAATATAAAAATTAATTCTTTAGATTTTTTAGCCGCCATCTTGTCAAATAATTTGTAACTTTTATAAAGACCCTGTAGCTATTGTTTTTTTCTTAACTGCTAAAATAACACCCTGTATAATGGTGGTTTTAAATAGAATTTTTCTTCGTTAAATAATAAACGTTTAAGTGAATTTGTTTAATATACCACTAATTTTGGTAGCTGGTTTGATTGTCTTAGAATTTAATGCTAATATTTTTAGTTATAGAATTTTTTACTATGAGAAGTAATTGCCGTTTAAGATTATAACTGCTATACAAAGCTACGTTTTTAACTGAAAATGTGTATATAGACTTACCTTTCTTTATCCAAAAGGATACACACAAAAAGCACCACTCACTATAATAATCCGAGAAACTTTTAACAAAAAACAAGCAGAGCAGACTCGTTGATTATATGACTAATTATAAAATTGATTATTAACAGTATTAGCCAAGAAAAGCCGCAAAGTGCAGTGACTGTAGTTGATATCGCCTGAACAGGCCACGGGCTGTTTCGCTGAGACAGCAAAGGGAGCTGTGCTAGAGTTTGTTGACTTGGTTTACACACCTAAGCGGAATAAAATCTATTTCAATACAATTTGCTATTTAAAAGAATTTACCATTAGGCTTTAATATGAACTTAAGAAATATATATGAACATTTAAGACGAAGAAGGATTGACCCTTTCTGTTC